ACAAACACACACACAAGCACAAAACACAAACACAAAACCAAACACGAACACAAGCACAACCACAAACACAAACGCACACACACATACTCGGACACACACAGACAATCACACACGCTCGCACGCAGACGTTTCGCTTCCCAGCCAGTTCAACCAACTCAGCGAGAGATTAGCGGGGTACGCCAAGCAGAATTTCCACCACACGTTGTTAGAGGGGGGGACAGCGACGGATGAGTTGCGGTTGCAAGAAAAATGAGGCGTGCATGACGGCATGCAAAGGCGCACGGCCCCAAGAGGGGGAAGGCGCACGACGCAGCGGCAAAAGCGAAAGTTGTGTAGCCCAGTGTTCCAGGGAGGCCAGCCGCATTGCAGGCAAAACGCGCGCACGCACACGCGCAGACACAGACACACAGACACAGACACACACACATTTATATATACACATATACACCTACGCACACATGCATGGTTTGGCGTCGCGGCTACGTGCTCGGCGGCGCGACGCAGTGCAAGGTCGAGCGACACACACAAACACACACAACTGTTTTTGTCGGGGGCGCCTCGGCCACTCGCGCAGCAACGCGGTACAGTCAGGCTAGGAGGAGGAGGAGGAGGAGGAGGAGGAGGAGGAGGAGGAGGAGGAGGAGGAGGAGGAGGGGAGGAGGGAGGAGGGAGGAGGGAGGAGGGAGGAGTGAGGAGGAATTGCGGGAGAGAACAAAGTGCGCGGGAGACCAGCAAGACCCTTTCCCCCAACATACACACAACACACAACACACACAACACACAACACACAACACACAACATACGCAACATACACACACACGCTTCTCCTGAGTCGGAGTGTCGGCAGCGTGGCGCAGTCCTGCGTGGGCCACATACAAGCATTACTTGTAGGAGGCGGGGGGGGGAAGGAGGAGGAGGAGGAGGAGGAGGAGGAGAAGACCACCCCTCTGTGTGGATAGTGGTCAAGCTGAAGACCTCAAGCAAGGGTGCAGCGAGCGAATTCCATCCTGTCTTGCTGATAGGGGCAGAACGGTAGCAATGAACAGGCGTGCAGAGGAGCTGCGTTGAGCCCGCGGTGGAAGAAGCGCACGCACAGAAACACCCGCACACATACGCGCGCGCACACACACACACACACACACACACACACGCACACAGGCAGACACACACATACACACATACACACACGCACACACACACACACACACACGCACACAGGCAGACACACACACACACATACACACACACGTACACACGTACACACGCGCACACACACCACACACACACACACGCTCTTTGTTCTTAAATGTGCCAAGCGGATTCGGGTGCAATCCGAACGAGACCCGTGGCGGACGCACCCAGGCAAGTGACAAAGCAACGGCCGCAAGCAACGAGGCCTTAGAAGACAAAGGCGCGCAGACGCGCAGAGGCGAAGTCAACGCGAGGGCGGGGATGGAACATACGGTGCAGGCTGGGCACAGGTGCGCAAGCAGCAGACCGAAGCCGTTCTCGTTTCGCACACGTAGAGACGCGCACGCGCACACGCACACACACACACACTCACTGGAGTTGGACATACATGTTTCGTTGGCGCGCGCCGGGGGATTGCGCGAGGGGTCTGCCTTCCAAGAAGGCGGGGGAGCTTCTGGGAAGGCTCGGGGGCTTCCTAGGCGCCCTCCCGGCTTCCACTCGGCATTGTTCGGACGTGTGCATCTTCTCTCGGCGGGGATAATCGAGGAACACCTTGGATCGCCTTGCGAAAAAATACGCGCACGAAGTCGAGAAATACACGGGGATTGGACGCCCGAGCGATGCCCAATCCACCTTGGCATCGCTCGGACATGTGTGCTTTTGGGGGCGAGGGCCATCGAGGAACATACTGGATCGTCCTGCGGAAAAATACACGCACGACGTCCAAAAAGTATACGTGGAGTGAACTTCCGAGCGATGCTGCGTCCAGGAAGCCCTCTTGCCCTCCCTGGGCCCTTCTGAGGAGAGGTTTCTGCCTTCTCCGAAGATCCCCCCGCGCCTCCTCGGAAAAGGCCGCTTCGACTCCCTCAGGCCCCGCCCCCCCGCTTCTGCGCGCCACCAGAGGCGATGGGCCATTTTTCCACCACCACTGCCATAGGCAGGACGGGGCAGACGGGAGGATGGGGAGGTCCTCCTCCTCTTTCTCTCCCTCCTTCTGAAGCCCCCTGGCGCAGCTTCTCGGGAGGGGCTGTGTTCTGAACAGCGTTGCAGTCCATACTCCTACATGTCTGATGTCCACGCTCTGAGGTCTTGGGGGGCAGCTGGCCATCCATGCTGTCTCCTGTTGTGGGCAGCTGTAATCCCCGCAGGGCCCACTCCCAGGACCGCTTGGGCGAGATCTCGTCAGGCGGGCCCCCGGTTTCGACGGACTGGTGCCCCGTGGGCACGGCGGTGAAGGCCACCCTAGACGCCAGTGTGCGCAGGCGCACACCTTGATCTTGCCCGGGGTGATGCTCCGCGCGGTCTCGCGGAGGCGGGGTATTGCCTGGGGCCGCTCGTCAAACATGCTGCGGGGTGTTCGATTCTCCTGGCGCGACGATTGCGTTCGAGTCGTTGTTCCACCGAGCAGTCTCCTGGTGCGTGCTGCAACCGTATGGCTGATATCACGCCTGTTGCACTTTACTACCCGCCTCGCCCCCGTGAGCGTCGAACCCATTCACGATACAGGCATACTTGTGATCTTCTTACAGCATGGCTATCGTTTCAGTTTTGTGCGTTGCCTGAGCAGACAACGCCAGCGATAGGAATGGATCTGACGGATGGTATGGGGCTGATTCAGCATGGGAGATGGGAGTGGAGGGCAGATAGACCCTTCGGAATTCGCAAGCAAGGCTCACTACGCAGGCATCGCCGTCAGTCAGGTGTTGACCGCACATGCGATTTGCGCTGCGAGTGGCGTTCGTGAACGAGTCCCTCCGTGCTTTCCAGCCAATGAGTGTAGCAGCACTAGTGACAGCGTATGCGTTCCACGAGCACTGGTTGAAGTTATGTTTCATTGCAGTCCGCTGCGGCGTGAGCGTCGGGAGTTGTGGACAATCGCTGCCCAGCGTCCTGATCACTTCCTGCGTATGGCTAAGGCCTCTTATGTGCTGACCATGGCCCTCGCTCCTCCTACGCGCGCGGTTTCCTGGGATCGGGACACTCTTATGCGATGTGTGCGTCGGAGGGAGAAACGCGCCGAGATCGTTACTCTCCTGCGCCAGCGCCTGGAGGGCGTCCAGAACCACTTGCAATATTTGTTATCGCGATCGACGGTGGACGATGTTTTAATGAGAACTTGAATGAGTTGGTGATCCAGGTGGGTCAGGACGTTTTCTAGGGTGTTCGGAATGAAGTTATTGAGCGGTTCCATCTTGACCGTGAACAGCTTTTGGAACAATGACGCTGGTAACGCTTGCTGCTGCCTGCTGCGCAGGAGGAATGTGTTCAGCAAGTCCAAGATCGGCTGCGCAGCACCTCGCGGATAGTTCGCGCGTTTAGGAGGCGGGGGGCGGAGGCTAGGAGAGAGGCTCTCATTGGGCAAGTGCGAGAACACTGGTACTCCGCTGCCTTGACGAAACTGCTTGTCTTGCACGCCGCGCCGCCGGCACCCGCTTTGGCCCGAAGCGCCACGACTGCGGTGCCTTCAGGGGGACGGCCGATGATGCTGCAAGTGCTGGGGGGCATTTCTCTCGGTCAGGGCCAGAAGCGGGGTGCGTCTGCTGCTCCTGTTCCTGATTGTCTGCCTGGAGAGCTCAGTTGATTGCCCGGAGTACAGGTGCTATCCCCTCATGCGGTGATCACCATTGAGCTGCGCGTCGCGATTTCCAGACTTTCCGATATCAAATCGGGAGGCCAAGCAAATGTCGAGCGGCTCTTGAGTGGTCTCCCCCATTTGGAGCTCCGGTGGCGTGCTCGCTTTCTTCGGCGTGATCTCCAGGGCTTCCCTTAGGCGACGGGGCTGCAGTTTGCCCGTGCAACTGGCAGAACTCTCAAGAACTTTTGATATCTGGACTGCCACGTATTTGGGCGCGTGGTCAGGTGCAGATGGTTTGAACCGTGGCCGGGGCGCCCCCCCCTCCACGGCCTGACGACGAGACCCGCCAGGCCCGCGTCCTCGACCCGCGCGGGAAATCTTGGGTTTCAGGGGCCATGGCCCAGAAGAGCCTGTTACGCGGTAGTGTTCAAGACCATGGTTTCCTTCGTGATTGGCGTCGCGAGTGCGCTTCGATAATTCAGGGGGTCACCGGGGAAATTTCAGCGGAAAGATGACTACGGGTTCGTCGCGAATGCCCATGACCTCGCGAACGCCTTCGCTAGCAGCTCGCTCGCGCACATGGAACGCGCAATTCCCATCCTTTTCAAGAATGACACTTCGAAGTGCGGCCTGCAGAGGTTGCGCAGCGCACTGGTCACACTGCGAGGCCACGATCAGGACCTCCACCTGGCCCCGCGCAGTAGGGGCTTCATGGGTGACGAATTTGCCGTGACTGCTTTCTGGCGCACGTTTGCTTCGCCAGTTCATGGCTGGCTTCTGGACCAGCGGAGATGGGATCTTCTAGCTGATATCTTATGCGATCGGCTGATTGTGCTCCAGAACGGCCAGATTATCTTTGAGCCGACGGACGTCGTGGACAGCTCCCTTACCAAGCATGCAGATGACGCGGCGACAAGCCGGCTCTTTCTCGTGGCGCGGACCTGAGTCGGTCGATCGAATTGAGTCGGCAGTCACGGCAGTCAAGCCAATCTCTTGATGCGCGGCTGTTGGAAGTAGGCCTCGCTCAGAACCTAACCAGGCAGGATCCATTTTTGCATGTCTCTGGGGGTGGGTCTGCGAAGTTCATCCCCGGCGTCAAGCGGGGCCTTTATTCTTTTCGGGGGAAAGCCGTGCAGGAGGCCAAGAGTTTCGGGGCTTGGCTTAGCAGTGTTCCTGCTGGCTTTGATGCTGAACTACGTTCTCGCATCAGCGCTGCGCTGCAATCCTGGCGTTCTATGGGTGGCTTCTGGACTCTTCGAAGTGTCTCTCATCGACTCGGCGCTGCTTATTTGTACGTAGAACTCATAACGTTGTTATATATGGTCTGGAGGCGTCTTTCCTCAGTCCTCAACAAATGCATCGACTACCAACGACTGTCATCATGTGCGCTCGCAAGGCTATGTTAGGACAAGCTACCACCAGGTTTGTGGATTGTCGCCCTAGTAGGTCCATTTCTTCGGAGGCGGCAGCGAGGTGTTGGAGGCTAGTCCCGCTAGAGCTCGAGGCGCGGATTCGACGGCTCCGACTTTGGCAGCGTGGTGCTTGGATACCCGGGGCCCGTCGTCAAGTTCTAGCCAGCTCGTTCGGGTCGCTTGGCGGCGGCGTTCTCGCCGGCCGCCCCCGCGCACTGTCTGACGCGCGGATGCGACCGACTATATCTATATATACATATATATATATATATGTACTTGAGTATGTATACCTATATATATAGATAGATATCGACATGCACGTATATTCGTAGACCAGGCGTTACGTTACTGATGTTGATAGTCTTGGGGCTCTCGATGAAGGGGCTTCTACATTCGAGTGACCAGGTCATCGGCGCTTTCTCCTGATTGCAGATCCAGGTTTTCAGGGGGTCTTATTCAGATCGACGCGCACCAACTTCGCGCTCTTGCTCTCTCGGACCCCCCACCCGTCGTGCTCTCGCCGCGCCTGCAGCGTTTGTTTGTTTATGTATGTATGTGTATATATATATATATGTATTTTGGGGGAGGGATGTCCCTATTTACGTACGTTGCTATGCATTATGAGACTAGATGTGACAGGTCCTTGCCTGATAGACCTGCTTTCCATACTCGCATTATCAAACATCGCGGCTGCCGAGATCTTCAGCACGTTGGTGCCATTGCAAGCCAGTGTTGTGTGCATGGCCACTTTTTCACATCCCGAGAGTGCCGGACGCCATCTCGCTCGGAGTATGGCTCGCGATCGTTATCTCCGGGGTCGGACCCGCCATGCCGCAGGAGCTCGTCAGCCAACGTCTCTGGCTTGCCCGCTCTGTTTTTGTCTGTGCCTGTTCCTCCACTGGCGTTTTGGCCAACTGGCAGGTGCACGCGCGGTCTCACCTTGACCCCTGCCCGAGGCCGCCGCCAGTTCCCGGAGACGGATGCGACGCCAGCCCGGGCGCTGACCCCCCCCCCCGGCGGCGGGCGAGCTTTCCGCGGGGGCAAGTGGCCGCGAGCGCCGCGCCGTCGAGGGGGCCGAGCGCGACGCAGCTGCGGAGGGCCGGGCCTCGGAGGGGCCGGCGTGCATCCTCGCGCGCCCTGCCCTCCGCAGCGCCGCAGAGCTTCGAGGGTTGCGCGGCGTCGTCCGCGCAGCGCTCCTCGCCCCGCCCGAGCCGCCTTGTCGTCGCAGCCGCAGTCGCGGCTGGGAAGGTCCACGAGGAGGCCGAGCGGCGCAAGGCGGAGTCCGCCCTGGCGCCCATGGGGCCGCCGTTCGCGCAGGCGTGGGTCGCGCTCGTCAGAGCCATCGGCCAGTCTCAGGAATGCCTACCCCAGCTTTCGTAATAAAGGGAGGGGGGTCTCATTTCGGGGGGGGGTCTCTTCCAGGCCATCTTGGAGGGCCTGAGGGGTCTGGGGACGATGTTTTGGAGGGTTCTCCAACGGGGGAGGTCTGAAATGGCTTGTCTTGGAGGGTCCAGACCCCCTCCCTTTTATTACGAAATCTGGAGTAGAAGCTTGGAAGGCCCACTGCCACAAGGGCTGGGACGAGCTCATCATTAAAAGAGCGAGAGCGAGGCAGCGGCCGCCAGGGCAGGGCGCGCCCGACGCGCCAGCAGGAGAGCCAGCAAGTCGATGGATCGCGTAACTTTCGCAGTGGGCGTTTCAGTAGAGCTCACAAGTCGATGGATCGCGTAACTTTCGCTTTCGCAGGAGAGCCATCAAGTCGATGGTCGTCGAGAGCCAACAAGTCGATGGTCACCGCTCCCGCAGAAAGCGGGTGGCGTCCGCAAGTATGGAGCGGCCCCGGTGAGGTTTTGGAGCGTGGCGCTCAGAAGTTGTGTTGGATTCCCTCGAGGGAATGTAGATGAGTCCGTTGATGGTAGTGCAGGTGATGGACGTCCGTGGCTGCTAAAACTAGCTGCCTCGATGCACTTCCAGAGGTGCCAGAGGACAGGGCGCATGAGGTAAGGTTTTTTGTCTTGCCTAAACAAGTACGAGAAGACAGGGGTGTTGAGGGCTTGCGTGTTAGCAGTGATCAGTCTCGTCTCGTGGGCATGGGATGTCTGTGATGAGTACTGGTCCTGGTGTGTTGCTTGCCGCGGGTGATCCCCCAGCAGCTGGTCCTCATCGCGTGGAGGTTGGCCCTGATGATTGTTCGCCACATGTTTTTCCGATTTCGACTCCTTCCCAGATGTCCCGTGCAGCGTTATCTAGCCGTGATTCCAGGCCAATGTCTAGGTTCGGGGACGGGCCCGCCGTTCCTTCCTCGGGCCTTGCGCTCGTCCGATCGGCTCGGTCCCGTCGTCCTCGGCCCTCTCGGAGTCGCCCTCCCGCCCCTGTTCCTCTCAGGAGGGGAAGAAACACACAGACACAATTCATCGTCGACTCCCAGAAAATATGGGAACATATGGGAAGTGGGGGGGAAGACAGAAACCCAGAAAATAGGGGAAAGTACGGGGAATAGTTTTATTTGTGTGTATTTATTTGTGTGTCCTGGGGCCCCTTCATCCTCATCCTCCTGCCTTTCGCGGCAGTGCTTGATATCTAGAATTCGTCCAGCGTGCCGCACTCCCCCCCCATCGATCCCGTCGGGGGTGTGGTGCCTAGGGCCGCGGAGGCCTCGATGTCCGCCCAGTCGGGTGGTGAGGTTTTTTTTGCGGGGCAGTGCGCTCGATGAGGTATGGGATTTATCCCCGTGCCGCGTGCAAAGAGTGCTGCACGTAGGGATAAAGGGGTGGGGGTCCGAGGGGATCTCTTCAGTTGCCCCACGACGGGGTTTGTTTCAAGGGGGTGGTGCCCTAAGACGCTCGCGGGATTCGTCCTCCTCAAGGGCTGTCTTCAGGCTTATGCGCCCCCCGCCTACCGGCCCCCCCATCAGTGGGAAATCCTTGTATAAACCACTTCGATCTGATTATTGGTTCGTCTCGTTGCTATGGGAGACTTCGGGTCCGATAGTTCTTTGCTTGTTTGCTCTTCCTTCTAGACCTGGAACCTGGTGGCGTGAGAAGTCGTCGATTGCCGCCCCCCCCTCCTCCTCTTCCTCCTCCTCCTCCTCCTCCTCCTCCTCCTCCTCCTCCCCCTCCTCTTCCTTCTCGTCCTCCTCGTTCTCCTCCTCCTCGTCCTTCTCTTCCTCCTCCTTCTCTTCCTCCTCCTCCTCCTCCTCCTCCTCCTCCTCCTCCTCCTCCTCCTCCTCCTCCTCCTCCTCCTCCTCCTCCTCCTCCTCCTCCTCCTCCTCCTCCCCCCCCTCCCACCCATGGTAGTGGTAGTGGAGAGTCGGCAAGAGGTTCGTCGCGTCGTGAGTTCTTTGCTGTTGCCGCATCGCTTGCCCTGTCGCTCGGCCGCCTCGGGCGGGGAAGCCCCCCGCAGGCCCCCGCAGGCCTCCAAGGGCTTGCCGAGGGCCTCCCAAGGCGCTCGGGAGGCCCTCGGACGCCCTCCGACGGCCCGCGGAAGCTCCCCGAAGGCCCCCGAAGACCTTCGGAAGGCCTCCGAGAGCCCCCCGAACGCTTCCGAGGGCATTCAGACGCCCCCCGAAGGCCTCCGCAGGCTTCCGGAGGCCTCCGAAGGCCCGGCGAGTGCCTCCGAAGGCCCTCGGAAGGCCCTCGGAAGCCCTGGGCCTCCGACGGCAGCCCAGGCCTGCCGAGGCGCCCAGGGGGGCGGCGCCCCTCCGCGGAGGCGCGGGGGCCGCCGCCGTGCGGATCGTGGGGCGCTGGCGCCTGCTGGTCTGGAATCGCCGCTGCTGCGCCGGGGCCTACGCGTCGCGCGAGGCAAGGCGGCGCGTGGCCGAGCAGCAGAACGCGAGGCCGGCCCCCGCCTCCCCAGATCTCCGACCCATCGAGGATCGAGGAGAAGAGAACGTGCAACCCGAATCACGAGTGACACGATGAAAACGTGGCCTCACTGAGGTCCCCGCCTTCGCATTCGGACTCGTAGATCTGGGCGGCCTGGCTTAGTACATCTGCAGAAGAGACCCCTATCCTCATGTTGCTGGCCCTCCTAACTGAGGCCCCCTCCCAGAGGGTTCGGGGTCCTTGTTTGGCTCATCGCCGACAGCTCGATGCGTCCATCCATGCGTTTTTGCCCACGGTTTCGGGCTGTGTGGCTCGGAGCCCGGGACAGTCAAGCACGGGTCCGCACTGCAGAGCACCCCCAGGGAAGGGCATCGGGAGTTCTGTTGCCGCGGACTGGGCAACAAGAAAAGAACCGATCGGCGGAGGCCAGCACCCGCCTCCTCCGCCTCTCCCCCTCTTCCCCCTCCTCCTCCCCCTCCTCCTCCTCCTCCTCCTCCTCCTCCTCCTCCTCCTCCTCCCTCCACCGTTCTCCACCTTCTCCACCTCCTCCTCCTCCTCCTCCTCCTCCTCCTCTCCTCTTTTCCTCTGCTCTCCTCCTCCGCCTCCTCCTTTTCCTCCCCTGTGGGGAGGAGGAGTAGAAACTGCCAATACCGCTACCTTTCCCTCGCCGCCACGGCTGTATTCGCGGCTTTAGCCTGGCTTAAACGCACCCTGGAATGGGGCCGTTGAGAGGCGTCATCGGTATCCTCAGGTTCCCCAACTCGGTCTTTCGTCGTTTTCATTTTCATTTATCACTTCTAGTCGAGTCAGAGTTGCATGTCGTTGATCTGTATGGACCATTCCCATACCAGCGTTGAGCGCGCGAGCCCCCCTTTTCATCCTTTGCCATTTCTTTTTTCCCCCCTTGCCCCGTCAGGGACGTTGATGCCCGAATTTGGCGGAGCACGAAACGGGCTGGCACGAGGGCTCGAGGGTTGAAGCTCGCTGATGGGCTGCGAACGCGATTTGTGTTTCTGGGGCGACGGGGGAGAGGGCAACCTTTTGTAATGCAAGATGAAGCATGAGCAGCCCAATCGTCGGCAAGAGTAGACCTGAGATCCGAGCATCTCGCGAAGGGCGGCTGTAAGCATTGCTGTTGACCGATCAAGCGCGCCCGCCGAGCGTACGGGGATCTGGCCCTGGAAGCAACGCTGCCCCCCCAGCGACCTTCAACTCGAGGGGATCGTTTTGTAAGGGGGTGGGAGGCTCCTAAGCAATGGCGCCGACAGGCGGGGGTTGGCTGGCCCAGGGTGGGAAACGCCAACCCCCAATCGCCCAATCGGGGCCCAGGTGCCCCAGCTTTGACAAGAACGCTGGGGCCTCCCATCGGGGGCCTATCGTCAGGCGGCCCTCTTGGGCATTTTCGGGACCGCATCGGAAGCCGTTTAGCCGTGTTGGGGCAAGCTCGGCTGTCCTGTGGCGCGCTCGTGCTGTTCGAGATGTTGTTGTTGATGGCTTAGTTTTCTGGGGTGTTGTTTTGTTGTTATCGATTGTGTTGACTTCCCTCGGGGGATCTGCTTGGACCAAGGCATGTCCAAACGGTACATTATGATCAACACATGTATGTAACGCCGATTCTAGAGAGGGGTATTTCAGGAAAATGCGCACGATGACGGGAATGTGTCGGCCCTACAAAGCATTCGCGGAAGTTCTCCAGGCAGTTGAGGAGCAGTCTCACACGTTTCCAGGTACACAAGGCGCGATGGCAGATATATCCGATACGTGAATATGTTCTGGACCCGGGAATATGCGCCGGGGTTCAGCAACAAGTTCGTTGTCGATGATCGAGTCGTCTTACGTGGTGGCACAGTGGACAGGGTGGGGGAGGTGCATGGCCCGATGATCTGGATGCTGACGTGGAACATCGGGAGGAAGGTTATGAAAATGTTGTTGATGGTGATGACGATGAGGATGATGACGGTGATGATTTTGTTGATGGTGATGGTGATGGTGATGTGACGGTGAGGACGACGATGGTGATGACGATGATGATGAGGATGATGAGGATGAGGAGGAGGCAAACGAGGAGGAGAAGGAGGAGCAGGAACATAAGCAGGAACAGGAGGAGGAGGAGGGCAACGTCGTGATCGACATCGCTGCCAGCAGCGCCAGCGCCAAGAGGAGCAACAGGCGGAGGAGGGGCATGGCCAAGAGAAGGAACAGGATGATGAGGAGGATGGGCAGCAGCAGCGGCAGCAGCAGCATGAGGCCGCGCCTTCGCCGCCGCCCCCCCCCCCCCCCACCGGGCCTGCCAATGGAGGCAACGGGCCCTGACGTCCTCGCCATGCAGCAAGGGGGTCCTGAGGGAAACGGGCTCTCGAGGCCATCCCCGTGCGAAGGGAGTTTCGGGGGGGAAAAACAACGGTTCAGGACGACGAGCTGGTACCGTCGGGAGGGCCCAGGGGTCCGGAACCCGTCTCTCTGAGGACCCGCTCGCTTCGTGCCGAGGGCCGTGTCTTAGATTCGGGGGCTCTCCCCAGGATGGGTTGTTCCTCTTCCTTCCTTCCTTCCTTCCTTCCTTCCTTCCTTCCCCTCCTCCTCCTCCTCCTCCTCCTTCTCCTCCTCCTCCTCCTCCTCGTCATCCCTCTCATCCTCATCCTCATACTCCTTCTCATCCCGTTCCCCTTCCTCCTCCTCCTCCTTCTCCTCCTCCTCTTCCTCCTCCTCCTCCTCCTTCTCCTCCTCCTTCTCCTCCTCCTGAGTCTCGGATTGCAGGAGAACAGCGCAAGCGAGAAGTTTTCCGAACTCCGTGCTGATATCTAGGGTCTGCGCTGGACCCCCTTCTGGCGGCGCGCCAGGGAAGGGGGCCGCCCCAAGAAATCAGCGCGGCCTTCCGCTTTCTGGCCCTCTGGAGTCGTGGTGTTGATGCCCATTAGGGCCCGCGAGCGGCGAAGACCCTCCGGGGACCATCCCCCTTAGGAGGCCACGGTGGTTCACTCGCGCCAACTGCTTGGCATCGCTCAGACGTGTGCGTTCATTTTGGCGAGGACCATCGAGGAGCCTTTTTGGGCCACCTCGCGAGAACATGTACATGCGCAAATCCGAATAATGCACGGAGAGTAAACGTCCGAGCGATGGCGAGGGTGCCTCCCCGCTCCTCCTCTCCGTCCCCAGCGACACTGCCGACGGGGGTCACCAACCACTTGTAACCAGCCTGGAACATATCCCTATCCCTATGATGGGCATCTCCTCATCACGATGCCAATCTTAGGGACTCCCTTATTCTTTGAGGGCGAATCCCTAAGATTGTCATCGCCTTTTGGCGTGCCAATCTTAGGGATAGGGATAAGTTCGAGGCTGGGGTCTGCATCGGCTGAGCGATCCCCGTCCCCACTGAGCTATGGCATCTCGGCCCAACCAGCCCTCCCCCCCCATAGGGATAGGACCCAACCAGTCCTCCTCCTCCTCCTCCTCCTCCTCCTCCTCCTTCTCTTCCTCCCCCTCCTCCTCCTCCTCCTCCTCCTCCTCCTCTTCCTCCTCCTCCTCCTCCCCCATCCCCCCCTCTCCTCGTGCTGCTCCTCCTTGCCCCGCCAGCCTGCCCCCCCCCCCCCTGGCAGGGGGGTAGTTTGCACAGAGCGGGCCCTCGCGTGGGATCGCTTCACAGGGAGGGCGTGCTTTTTTCTGAGATCGATGCTGCACGCCATCTTTCCAACGCCAACCGTGGGGGGGTAAGGCGGCCTGTGGGGCCGAGGCCACGCCCGTGGGAATGGGCCCCGCTCCAACATGCTCGTGGATCGGAGGCGACGATAGTAGCGGATAGCCTAGGGGCGGCGGGCACTCCACGAATTCGTCGGGGAGCCTCGCCGAAGACATGGACCATCGGGGCCCTTGGGTAATTTCGTACATGCATTGCTCCCCTGGGCCATTCGACCCCCCTCGTCGCCTCCGAGTGGAGGCGAGCCGTCGGTTCCCGCCGCAGCCCCCCGCCCAGCACAGGTCCTGCTTCCACGCCTGGAGCAGCGGCGCCCGCCCACGGCGGCCCGGCGACCGGGGAGGTGCCCGCGGGGCCCCCATGGCGGACGTCGGAGGGGCTCGCTGTGCACACTACTCGGAGGCCCCCCCCCTGGCGGTGTGGTGGCGCCCAGGCCTAGAGCGAAGTCGGGCGTGTCCCTCTACAGGGGGGGGTGTCCAAAAATAGTAAAATAATGCCCTTGGGACGATTTTTGGGGTATTTTTGTTACCATGTGGGAGCAGTTTTCGCAATTTCTTGTTTTTTTCGCCCAAAATCCGCCTGTAGGGGGACACGCCCGACCTAAGCCTAGAGGTTGACACCAACACCAAGATGTGATGGTGTGCCTCCACCGAGGGAAGACGATCCCGATCTCGGCGATGGTGGTAACATTCTGGCTTCCAGGGTGGCCGAACGAATAGCCACCGACGCCGACATTCAGCATCCTCCTTCCCAGGTGGAGGCAGGCCCCCTGTGTTGGTGTGGGCGCCGATTTCCAGGCCTCCAACAGCAGACTTCCAGAGGCCAGGTCCTCCTCCTCCTCCTCCTCCTCCTCTTCCTCATCCTCCTCCCCCCCCCCTTCTCCTCCCCCTCATCCTGTTCTCCTCTGCCTCCTTTTCCTCCTCAGCTCCGAGCTTCCCTTTGGTGCTGCATCGCCCCCCTTTTGTTCCGCCCACCCCGACGCGCGGAGCGGGGGCACATGGAGACACCGGCGGCCCCCCCGTTGGGCCCAAGTCCGCTCAAAGCCAAGGCCTATCCTCCGTAGCCATTTTGGCTCAAGCCATTTGGCGAGCTGGCGGCGGCGCGATTGCTCTTTTTTTTTTTTTTTTTTTTTTCTCTCTCTCTCTCTCTCTCTTTCTGCAATGGTACTCACGGCCCATGGAACTCACTGGTGTGTTCGAATACGTTGCCGCTTCCTCGGCGTGCTCCAGCGATCGCCGCTTTGCCATACGTGCGGCCATCTGCCAATTCAGTGCCAATTCTAATCGCCCTGCGGATGAGGACCCGATTATTATCCAAGAGGCTATTCCGGAAACCCTCGGGTGCTCGCGGATGCAAGACGCGAAAGCCCGTCTTCGCAGCGGAGGTCACAACGCTCTCTCGAATCGGCTCGGGCTCTTGAGTCGGAAGAGGAATGCAGCTGCCCACCCAAAGTGGTCCTCCCTATTGTCTGAGATTATTGCCATTGTCCCCTCGTTCCCAAAGCAGGATCTTGGCGACGACGGGGACGAAGTTATGGATATTATACCAATTGTTTCTTTGGAGGAAGAGACCACTGACATCGCCCTTTGTGTGCAGCGGAGCAGTGAAGAAGATGAGACTACTGGCCCATCACTTATTGATGTCATTGAAGATGATGGAATTGATGTTGCGGCCAGCACAGTGTGCACACTCTCTCAGACTCAAAAGACAGGCTCTCATCTCGTCGAGGACTACTTGTCCCAGCACCCAGAAGCGGTTCTTCAGGGATCGGAAGCGGTTGTCAATTCATCGCCGGTTGAGGGCCCTTGCTCATCGACCTCGACGGCTTCAAAAGTTGTGAAGCACTTCTCTGATAAGTATGTTTCTCTGAACCCTGGTCGCAAGGCTCAGCGTGACCATAGTTTTCGCTCCCTCGCCATCTACCCCCAGCCCAGCTTCTTCGACAACCCGATCGGCATGATCCATTACATCATCATCGTCAGCCCTATGGGGACGATTGAGGAGCTCAAAAGCAGGCTTGGTGTTCCCTCCGTTCGAGATGCCCCTCTGGACCCCCTGGTTCAGGAGGGACCTTCTGGTGGCACGACTGGCGATGCGCAGCTTGTGGTGGACAAAGTGATCATTTGCGAAGATACTTTTCAGTTTACCTGTTCGGCTATGCATGGGCTCCGCGATCACACCGCCCCTTTGTCGGGAACGTACTGCTGTGATTATTGCGGGCAGGACACCAGTGCGCATGAGAGTTTCTTGATATGCGATCATGCGACGTTGAAGTGTGCTCGGATAGTCAAAACAATGCCGCTGCTATGAAAGCTGCCATGGTTGTGAGCTGACGCGCTCATACTTGCATCCCTTATTGCTCTCTCTTTGGCGCTGTTCTCATGGGATACATGTGACGTTCCTTCACACATGTATTGTTCCCTCTCACGTATGGAGTCATTTTGGCTCCACCAACGGCCAGGATGCACCCCGCCCCGCACTGCGTCGTCTTCGCCAAAGTCTCTCCGCAATGCAGGCCAGCTTGCTTTCTTGACGCGGATGATTTCATTTCGCTCAGGCAGACATGCTCCAGGCTATTCAGGAAGGCGGCGATCCTCTACACCAAGTTCCGTGTATATGACGTCAGCTATGGATACCACATTCCTCATCAATCTGTGAGGCTGAAGTGGTTCTCCATCGATTATGTACCTCGCTTCTCGGGAGCACGTGTTTATGTTGGTGGCGCTCTCACTCCATGGGATCAAGTGGCTTCGCACTAATATCGCCTCACAGGTGCTATGCAGTGGTTTACCTTCTCTGACATGTTGGGTACCTCCTAGTACCATTTTGTGGTCCTCAGCAGCGGTTCTTCCTTGGACCCAGGCTTGGTGGTATATCCTGCCATGTTTGGTGGCGCTTGAAAGATACGCGGATCCTCGATTACCGTGATGCCCCCCCAAAACAAATAATAAAAACAATAAAAACACGAAAAAGGAGGAAACAAAAGCCTATCCTCGGACGTCTCCCTTAGCATCGCTCCGACGCGTGCGTTTTCCTTCTCGACGAGGACCTCCGAGGAGCATCCTGGAACATCTGGCGAACAAACCACGCACGAAACCGAAAAAAAAACACAGTGAATGGACGCCCGAGCGATGCCCAGTCGCGGGAGGGCGGATCGATGCGAGCTCGCGGCGGATCGATGGATTCATCCCCGACTTGTCTGTTTGGGGCGGAAGTTTGCCCGTGGGGGGAAGGAGGGGCCTCGGCGCGGCCCAGGGAGGACGAAGACCGCGGGCGGGGCCGCCGTTGTCTCTGCTGCTTCGTCGGGCCTGTCCCTCTACAGGAGGACGATTCAGAAATGAGCAAAACATAGTCGGGGGACGAGTTGTTTTTTGGTACTGTTTGACCATTTGGGGGCAATGGTTGATGATTTTATGTTTTTTATCCAAAAGCCCTGTGTGGGAGGACGGCCCCGACTGAACTCTACTGGCTTTCCTCCGAGCAGTGCCCCCCCCTTCGGGTTTTTTGTCAAGATTTGGCACAGCCCTGAGTGTCAGGGTTTTCCCCTCCTCCATCTCCTCTCCCCCTCTTGGGCTACGGCTGGTGGAGCCACACTGGCATCGGCAACGCTTCGGGCATGGTCCGAAGGTTGGTTGCTGGCTGATCCAGCTTGCTTCCCTTAGTCACCCCGCAAAGCGACGGTAAAAAAGGGCCCCCCTTGCGTGATTTCTTTTTCGTGGGCGGCTTCTCTCCCCCATTCCCCCCCGTGCCCCTCCATGCACCAACGTTTGCCGCAATGGGAATTCATGCGCCATCACTAGGGTTCTTCCGACGCACCCCTCTCGAGGATGGACACCTCCCATCGTGTGTCCACGAGTTGGGTCCAAGTTCCAATCGAGCGGCGCAAAACACACAATTACTCCGACGGAAGAACCCCACATAAGAATCCTCTGGGCGAATCTGGAAAAAGCCACCACCGTCGTCCTCGTGGTTGGTGAGGCGTCCTGGCTGTCTCTTCTGCGTATATTTCCTCTCGCCTTGGCGCGGGCCCCCCTTCCACTCCTTACGTTGTCCCCATCCTCGCCCCCCTGTTTGTTCCGCGCCCCGCCACCTCCTCCCCTTCCTGTTGCATGAGCGCGCATGTCGATGTTCCTCGGCGCCGTCGCCGCCACGGCCAGCACAGGCGCGTTCTCTACTGGTCACGTCGCGCAGCCGTTGGGGCAACCCCGCGGGCCAGGCTGTCGGGGCAACCCCGCGAGCCGTTGGCGCGCAAGACCAAGCCGTTGGGACAACCCCGCGGGCTTCGAGCGAGGCGCAGCCGCGCTCAGGCGGAAGGCAGCACGAAACCCAGCTCTGCCGCGAGCTGCTTCGCCTCCGCCCTGGACAAAACCGCTCTCTTGTCGAACTCCAGGAGCGCCTTCCGCAGGGACGCCGGCGGCCCGCACTCCAGGAACTCTCGCGGCGGCGGCCGCAGGATCAGCATGTTCCGCATGCGCGTGGCGCGGGAGAACATGACGTAGAGGTGCAGCCACCACTGCTCGTCCGACATGCCCGTGCGGCCAGCGTCCTCGTCTCTCGCGCAGTCGATGGTGACGCCCTTGCGCAGCGTCTGGCCCTGCGACAGCGTGGAGGTCAGGTAGGACGCGTGCGTCAGGGTGAACCCCGAGCGGCGCACGCTGTGCGCCCCCGAGCTCTGCCATGTGAACTCCCTTTCGCTGGGCCTGAACATCAGCAAGCTCCGCGCCCGCGCCTCGGCCTGGCCGTCGTCGTCGGCGCCTTCGGCGCCCTGTCGCAACACCTCGGCGACCTCCTGGTAGATCGGGGACTCCTTGAGGCCGTGCACCTGCAGCCAGATTCCCTGCGGTAGGAAGCGGGGGCGAAAGAGCTGGCCTGCCGAGCACTCCTCGTAGCGCTGCTCGTCCTCGTGGTGGAACTCGAAGGACACGATGGTGGCCCGCTGCTCCTGCACGAGCCCCAACTTTTTCTTCAGCTCCTCCTGCGCTGCCGTGAACCGCACCTCCATGCCGACGTGGGCCGGCAAAACGCCGTGGATGTCCCCCGTCTTGTGCATGTTCGGGACGTTCAGGAGGCGCCGACCCGCGTCGGGCTCGCTCTGAATCGTGCCGCACTCGTCAACGGCCTGCAGGAAAACAAGGGGCACGCCCAGACGCCGAGCGTCGCGACGAGCGCGCGTGTTGATCCACCTCGCCAACGTCTCCCAGTATATGCCCATGCCATAGCCGAGCCGAAAGTTCTCGTGCTGGTGCCGAGGGTCCAGGACGCCCTGGTTGTCCGTGGCCAACGTCTTCTCCCAGGCGGACCAGACCTCAGGTGGGAAGGGCTTGCCCTCGCGCGTGCAGCCCAGGAGCGTGATCAGAGGGTCCCCGGGCTCGAAGCGCTTCGTGCCCTTCAGCTCGAAGACGCAGGGGATCTGAGAGAAGACCTTGATGGCGTGCTGGATCTCCACCGTCGGCGGGTCCGCGTACCTGTACGACTCGTCGTCGTCCAGGCGCTCGTTCACGTCCGTCAGGAGGCCAATGCTGCCGGTGGGCTTCAGCTGCAGGAATTCGCCGAGGTGCAACACGATGGGCACGCGCCCGAAGTGGTGGTGTGGCCGCTGGTGGTTCTGGGAACACGACGAACACGAAGTGGCCTACAGGTGGCTCCTCGCAATTCACTCAGAGACGAGGCTCCCGCCTGAGACTTCCTCCAAATTCAGGCCTGAGGAGCCCAAAAACTTCCTTGTTGCTTCCGAAATGTAGCCTGGGAGCTGCGTTCTGGCAGCGCGAGAACCCAAAATTGACGACAATTACAAGTTTTGGATGACCCGCTCGGATTACCAACATGATCTGCGGGCCCCATATGGAGGGGGCTCCCGCCTGAGACTTCCTCGCAGTTCACTCACAGACGAGGCTCCCGCCTGAGACTTCCTCCATATTCAGGCTTGAGGAGCCCAAAAGTGACGACAGTTACAGGTTTCCGATGACCCGCTCGGATTACCAACATGATCTGCGGGCCCCATAGGGAGGGGGCTCCCGCCTGAGACTTCCTCACAATTCACTCAGAGACGAGGCTCCCGCCTGAGACTTCCTCCAAATTCAGGTTTGACGACCCCAAAAGTGACGACAGTTACAGGTTTCCGATGACCCGCTCGGATTACCAACATGATCTGCGGGCTCCATAGGAGGGAACTCCCGCCTGAGCCTTCCTCGCAGTTCATTCACAGACGAGGCTCCCGCCTGAGACTTCCTCCGTATTCAGGCTTGAGGAGCCCAAAAGTGACGACAGTTACAGGTTTCCGATGACCCGCTCGGATTACCAACATGATTTGCGGGCCCCATAGGGAGGGAGTTCCCGCCTGAGACTTCCTCCCAATTCACTCACAGACGAGGCTCCCGCCTGAGACTTCCTCCATTTTCAGGCTTGACGAGCCCAAAAGTGACGACAGTTACAGGTTTCCGATGACCCGCTCGGATTACCAACATGATCTGCGGGCCCCATAGGGAGGGGGCTCCCGCCTGAGACTTCCTCACAATTTACTCAACGATGATGAGGATGAGGATGATGAGTGGTGGTGAAGATGAGTGGTGAAGAGGATGATGATTGATTGTGAGTGGTGGTGGCGATGATGATGTTAGAATGAGGATGATGCCGATGCCGATGATGATGATGATGTTCGTGAGCGTGTGAGAGAGTGCGAGTGATGATGATGATGATGATGAGTATGTGAGTGACTAAGCATGTGAGAGAGCATCCTCGGTGATGCTGATGAGGTTGATGATGAGAGACTGCGAGTGAGTGTGAGTGGGTGTGTGTGTGTGTTCCTGTCCTGTTCCTGCGCGGGGAGCCCAGAGAAAACAAGAACCCCACTTTGGATGTGGGGAATAACACATAGGGTAGTCTGCAACGACATTGGCGCGTAAGCTGCCATCGAGCGGCGCAAAAAAAACATAACACACAGGGTAATATTCACCGACATTGGCGCGTAAGCTGCCAGTGTAAGGTCGCGCGTGAGCGCCCTCGTCTTCAATGTGGCGTGCCGTGCCAGCGGCCCGCGTAAGCTGCGGCGTAAGGTCGCTGTGCCATCTCGCGCAAGACCCGTTTTTGATCGTCGCTCAATTGTCTCGTGGAGGACAACCAACAATGAAAAGGATGTTGGGTTCGCCATACAGTCAAGCCGCTCAAACAAGGATCAGTTTGAGCTCGGAAGGAGTTCACCGTTCCTTGGGTCCTTCCGTTGTTGCTCCTCTCGCACTCCTGGTGCATTCGGGCGCTCTTGGGGCCAAGAAGTGCCTTCGTTCCTGATCTAGCGTTCCTCATGGTGGGCGCCTGGCTGTACAGCGGGCGCGCCCAATAAGAAGCTGGCGGGTGCCCCACGGAGGCTTCTATCCCCCGATGGCCCAAGGGACCCACAGGAGCGCCAGGGCACACACTCCAGGACCCTCCGAGATCATCCACAAGCGTGCACCAGGGCTGGACCTAAACGGTGTTAAGGCGATTTCGTGGGCCGTTTTTGCTTCGACTTCATTTTGCGTGACAGGCGGATTGAAGACAGAGCGAGGGAAACCGAAAACGAAACGAAAACGAAACACACCGTTTAGGTTCAGCCCTGGCGTGCACCGTGTATGGTACCACCCGCTGCACATCGGCCTCGCCAGGTGCCTCTGCTCCACCGGCGTTCCCCGACGCCCGCTGCCGCATCATCGTCGTGAGCTTCTCGGCGGCGACCTCGCCCGTCAGGCCTGCGTTTCGTGCCGCCCCCCGCGAGGCGAGCGCCAGGGGCCAGCAGGGGTGGGCAGCGGGAGTCAGAGGAGGCAGAGGTACCCATGCCGCTACACGTTGTTTATTTCTGATTCTTCCAGAGTTCCTAGGTTTTTTGGGGGGCCAAGATCCTCTCATGTCTAATTGTTCCATCCTGGGCCTCTTCCTGACCCTTAGGGGGCCAGGAACCATGACAAACGAGCGCAATTAGAGACGAGCACGATTAGAAAGGAACGACGTGTACCCATACAGTCGGGGCCATGAAGAAGGAACCCTTCTCGTTGGGAAGGGGCTCCGTGTTCCTTGATAGTTTCGCAGTTTGCCTTAGGTTTTCCTTCGGTTTTCGATGTGGAATCGAGGTTCAACTTATGGAGAATAGGGGCCTCGTTCCTTATTTAGGGTTCCTTAGGTCAACGCCCCGACTGTACCGCTATTTGTTGGGCCTCCTGGGAGGCCCTCGTCGCCACGACTGGATTCGCCTCGAACTCTTGGTCAGAACGCAACCCGGGAGAGGTCCGGGGAGTAGCGGTACAGTCGGGGCCCTGAAGAAGGAACCCTTTTCGTTGGGGAGGGGCTCCGTGTTCCTTGATTGTTTTACAGTTTGTCTTGGGTTTTCCTTAGGTTTTTAATGGTAAATCGAAGTTTAATTTATGGGAAAAAGGGGCCTCGTTCCTTATTTTGGGTTCCTTAGGTCAACGCCCCGACTGTATCGGTACTTTTTGGTTTCCCCAGGGAGGGCCGCAGGGAGGGGGGTCATACCAGGAGAAAGGGTGCGCACTCAGATCTCCGACGCTTTTCCTCGATCTCGGTCTGTGGAGCGTTGGCGGTGGCGCGCGGTGGTTGCTGCCGCGGGTGGTCTGCGAACGGTGTGGCGGTGGCAGTGCAGATCCAAACGTCTGATCGTGCCCTGCCCACCGCCCACCGCCAAATGCATCGGATGGTGGTGCGCGCGCATGCCGGCCACGTCGCTTGACTGTTCGATGATGGCCGAGACCCAACGCGTGCGATGTCACCCCCTGGGCTCTCTACCCCTCCCTCTTCCCTCTCCCCTCCTGCACGGGGCAGAGATAGGAGGAGACCGACTCAGCGGGGGAAACAACGATTTGGAATCGACGATACATGGCGAGAACACTTGAGGCGCCCCTCACATGCGATCGGAAATCTTGTGTGAGGTATTGTAGAGACACCACTCGTCGACTCTGAGTTGCCTTTCTATGGGTGCATCGGGCTATAGGAAGTTATCATGGGGCCTTGTTGGCGGACATGTGCCTACCTTGCGCGTCTTGGCAGATACGTCCCAACTGCCGCCCTTCCAGGAACCCAACAGGAAAGTGGGCCAGATCCCCTGGACCGCGAATTTCTGAGAACGGTGCCAGGAGTGGGGGGTTGGCAGAGCAGCAGGCCTTGTTCGAGCGAAACGGTTGCAGTTTATGCCCTCAATTGTAGCATCAGGCATGAGTCCGATCTCCCGTGGCGTTTTTCCCCGCGGCGGCTTGCTATCGGGCGCTGGCCCTGGGAAAGGGGTCGGGATGGGCCCGCGCATTGAAATAGCACATCGGCGGGTGTCAGGGGGTGCACACGACCCTCAGGGGCAACGTTAGGGGGGGGAGGATGAGGGGGGGACGCATCGACCCCCGATCGCTGGTTATTTAATCGCTTCGCTCATTCCGCCGGCCCATATTGTCGCACAGTTGTGGGCTAGCCGAGTTTTGGGGCCTCTTGGGGGCCGTTTTGGGGCCTCTTGGGGCCTCTTTTGGGCCTCTTGGGCGCCTCTTGGGGCGTCTTGGGGGCCTCTTGGGGGCCTCTTGGGGCCTTTTTGGGGCCTCCTGGGCGCCTTCTGGGGCGGAGGGCTCGATTTTTCAGTTCTCGGTTCCCCTCTTGAGCCCCTCTTGGGCCCGTCTTGGGGCCTCTTGGTCCGTCTTGGGCGGCACTTGGGCCGTCTTGGGGGCCCTCCTGGGCCGTTCCGGGGCCGTCTTGGGAGCCTCATGGGCCGTCTTGGAGCGGTCTTGGGGGCCTCTTGGGCCGTCTTGGAGCGTCCGGAAGCCGAAAAAGCCAGAACGCAAAAAACAGCGAAAAAAACAATGAAAATCAACGATTTTGGCCTCTTGGGGCCCTCTTCGGAGGCCTCTTGGAAGGCCCTTGGGGCGTCTTGGAGGCCTCTTGGGCTGTCTTGGGGCCCTGTTGGGCGTCTTCGGGCGATCTTTGGCCGTCTCGGGGCCCTCTTGGACCGTCTTGGAGGCTTCTTGGGGGCCTCTTGGCCCGTCCTGGGGCCCTGTAACAGGGCTCCGGCATCTCTGCGGGGACCCCGGGGACCTTGCCGGGGACCTTGCCGGGGACCTTGCCGGGGACCGGCCGGGACCTGGTCGGGGTACTTTTCGTCTGGGGACCCCCAGGGGCCGCCCCGCGCGCGCGAAGTAGAAACATTGTAGAGCAGTTACCGGAGATCTTAGCACGCCTCTGGCCCGTTGGGCCGGCGAATTGCCGACAAGGGCTGATGGCCCACCCCGCCCGGGAACGTTTCGCCGATTCATGCTCGCTGTTTCCGCTGATCGCCCCCACCTAGCCCACCTGAGCTGTTCCCACCCATCGCCCCCCCTCCTGCACTCACCACCCACCAGTCCACCCCAACCCAACCCGAAGGCCCCAATTCGCCCTGCATTTCTATTGGGGGGGTTGTCGGGGAACCTGGGAAAAACACATGGAACCTGTACCCCCCCCCCCCCAACCCGAAATTCGGGTCAAGTTCGGGTCCTCGGGTGGGGCTGGGGTGGCCTGGTAGGTAGTCCCCCCTCCTGCGCGGGACCCAGGCCGCGTCGCGTCGTGAAAGCAGCGCAGTTCCTCCTCCTCCTCCTCCTCCTCCTCCTCCTCCTCCTCCTCCTCCTCCCTCCTCCCTCCTCCCTCCTCCCTCCTCCCTCCTCCCTCCTCCCTCCTCCCTCCTCCTCCTCCGTTGTGCGGGGACGCGCGTTGTGTTGCCTCCCCAGGCCTCGCCCCGTCGTGGCACCCGCACGGCGACGCCGCACGTGCCTCGCAGATGGCGGCCCCTGCCGGGCCACGGGACCTGACGGGCCTGGTTTTCCACCACCAGCACCACAAGTTGGAGGGGGAGGTAGTCCTCCTCCTCCTCCGCCTCCTCCTCGTCCTCCTCCTCCTCCGCCTCCTCCTCGTCCTCCTCCTCTTCGTCCTCCTCCTTCCCCCGTGCAACTTATGGTGGTGGTGGTGGTGGAAAACAGGCCCATCAGGACCGTCAACGAAGACTACTCGGGGTGAGAACGCTTGTCCCCGGAAGGAGTCGAGGCATCCAGGGTGTCCACGCTGTGAGAGAAAGTCACGTCGTCGGAGGCCTGGGGAAGGTGGTAATAACGAGGCGACGAGGAGACACGAGAGAGCGACCAGGGGAAAGGAGATGCTCGTGAGGATAAAGATGTCCGGGCCTCGAGAGGATGAGACGTGGACGACGGGAAGTGGGGTGATGATGAGTGCGGCGAAGGCAGATGCAACATACTAAGAAGATGATGAGGAGGACGAACATGTTGAGGATGACGATGAGACGATGAGTAGGGAGAGGAGGATCACGTGAAGGAGGTGTGGTTTGTGTGTCTGTGCGTGGGGTGTTGTGTGGGTTCTTGGGGGGTACAGTAGGCACATCAAATCAGAAACTCAGAGCCCCGAATCATCAGGGGTAACTCGGGTCAGGGCTAACTCGGGTTCGCCTTTCGGGATTCCGAACCCGAGTTACCCCGGGCCCGAGTTACCGTGGAGAATTCGGGCGTCCAGAGCCCCAAATCATCAGGGGTAACTCGGGTCAGGGCTAACTCGGGTTCGTATTTCGGGAATCCAAACCCGGGTTACCCCGGACCCGAGTTACCCCGGATAACTCGGGCGCCCAAGAAACCGGCTCGTTAGCAGATCCCCTGGCAGAAGCTTCTCACCCCACCAAGGCCACGGGGGCCACGGGTGCCACGGGGGCCCTGGTGCCCCTCGCAAGAGCTGTTTCCGCTGCCGTAAACGCCGCCGCTCGCAGCGCGGCCTTGACCGGGCTGCGCCGCGTCGACGACGCGCTCCCGCCTGCGCACGACGAGGCCAGGAGCGCAGCGCTCTCCGGGCGGTCGGCGGCCCGGGTCGGCGAGGGGTGGGGTGGACGGCGTGGAGAGGCGCAGATCGGTGGGAGGTGGGGCCCAGGTTTTTGACTCTTGGCATGGCTCGGGCGTGTGCATGTTTTTTCTCGGCGAGAAGCATCGAGGACCATCCTGGACCATCGGGCAAACAAAACACACGCACGAAACCGAAAAATGCACGGGAAATGGACGTCCGAGCGGCGGCAAGTTGAGGTTGTGCTTGCTTCAGTCGGGGCGTGTTTCCTCGATCTGGGGCATGGGGCCACGGGACCGTGAAGAACTGGTCCGAGACGCAGTATATCCCCAGGGAAGAGGTCGGAGTCTTGCGGGGGCTGCGGACTGAACGGATCAAGTCGGAGGATGTCCTGGAGGGTGGCGCTGCTGCTTGCCAAGTCCTCGCCTGCGTGGTGCATGTCCGGGAGTGGGTCGAATCAAGATGAGCCTGGCGGGGGCGCAACCCGCTGCAGCACCCCAAACGGAGCTGCAAGACGCACGCGAGGGGTGTGCCGAAATTGGCGGGGGGCCGCATCCGGGCACCCCTTACCAGCCTGGAACATATCCCTATCCCTATGCTGGGCACCTCCTCATCACGATACCAATCTTAGGGATTCCCTTATTGTTTGAGGGCGAATCCCTAAGACTGGCATCGCCTTTTGGCGTGTCAATCTGATGGATAGGGATACGCTCGAGGCTGGTAAACTCCCGCTTGGCCGGTAGTCTTGTGCCCGCCCTTGCCGCGGGTGTGGTGTTTGGCATGGGCTTCCGACAGAGGGGCGGCCCATCCGAGAAACGATCCTCGTCTTCGCATTCGCGTCGATGCGTCGACATACGGAGCAATTTGTTTCTGGGGCTTGCGCCGCACCGCCGACTCCTTGCTGCCCTCGTGATTTGCCCGACTGGTCACTCGCGACGACGAAGCAGAGCAGCGGGTTGAGGGATGCATTCGACACGCTTCGCACGCCGAGGAGCGGGTGCCGCTGGGTCATGTGGAGGCGGGGGATTTGTGCGCGCGGTGGTGGAGACGCCCACGTCGACGCGGCGCCCAAGCTGGTTGACGCCACGGGCTCGCCCAGAATAAGTCGGGCCTGTCCTTCTACAGGGGACATATCCAAAAATAGTAAAAGACAGTCATGGGACTATTTTCTGAGTATTTCCGAGCATTTGGGGAGGACGTTGTAAGTTTTGTTTTATCTTTCGGCCAGAATCCCCCTAGAGGGGGACGGGCCCGACCTGAGCCCAGACCAGGGCACTCCGTCACCCGGAGCTCTCGGGACCCTGCCGTCTGGACTCCTCGATCCACGGCCTTGGTCGGGCAGCGCGCGCGAGGGCCCGCCGCGGCCCGGCAGCCGCCCGCCGCCTCGCCGCTTCCTGCGGCGCGGCCTCCGCCTCCTGTCCCCCCCCCTCCTCCTCCCCCTCCTCCTCCCCGTCCTCCTCCTCCTCCTCCTCCTTCTCCTCCTCCTCCTCCTCCTCCTCCTCCTCCTCCTCCTCCTCCTCCTCCTCCTCCTCCTCCTCCGCTCCGTAGCCATTTTGGCTCAAGATGCTTTGTTCCACAGGGGAACAAGTGGATACCGCTAGTCCGCGGCTAGTGCCAGGGCCTTTGAGCCCGACAGCTTTGTTCAACTCTCCGTGTGCCTCCTGCAGCCCGCAGGTGAGCTTCCTCTCGTCCCGCCTGACGACATGGGGAAGCATGTGGCGGTGCGTGGCTACGTGTCTTGTCCTCATGACGGTTGTCGCTACAAGTGGAATTGGAAGCGGCACGCGACATGCTGGCAGTGCGAAGGTCTTCTGCGTCCTGTGGGGGGCCAACCACCACCTCGTGATGCAGGGTCGTGGAGCCGTGGACCGCCCGCACTACCTGGCGCAGCACAGCCAGGACACCCACCAAGCCCCTTCGTGCGACCGCCCCCAGGGCAGTGGGCTCCTCCAGGGGCGGCAGCCACGGCGGCCACCCTCGGCGACGGCAGTGCCAACCCGTTCGCTCCCTCGACCGACCAGCTGTTCGAGGCTTTGCTGCGTCGCGCCCCGCAGCATGGCGAGCGCTTGGCGGCGCTCAAGAAGGAGTTCGAGGACGCTCCGCCGCCAGCTGCCGCCGCCCCAGTCAAGCCCAGCCTCGAGCGTGACAGAGAGGCACAGCGGCTGGCAGTGGCTGCTCGCAAGGCCGATGAATCTCTTGCGAAGGCGATCGCTCACGAACAGGAGTGCACCGACTGGCTGGCACGGGCTCGGGCGGCAGTGGAGCAGGCTGCGCAAGATGCAGCCGACGCCAGGCTGGCCCATGAGCAGCAGTTGGAGCAAGACCTCCAGCGCCTCAAGAGTCGAGAAGGTGCTGCACGTGTCGCCGCTGCCGCCGATCCCAAGCCCAAGCTCAACCTGTCCAGCTTTCTCGACGAGGGCGACGAGCTTGGGCAACTGTTCGAGTTCGAGGACGGCGAGGCCTTCGACTTCGCCGATTTGGACCTGGCCAAGGAAGACATCGAGGCTTGGCAGAAGCACAAGATTTCGTTGGCACAGGAGATCAAGCAGGCGATCAGTGCGGCGATTGGCCCAGCAGCTGCTCAACTGGGTGCTCGCAGACAACAGTTCAAGGAGTTCAAGGCTCGCATGGCCTCCAAGCGTCGACGCGTGGGAGCTCAAGGCGAGGCAGCTGCTGAAGGTAAAGATCGTGGTGAGGAGCAGCCTGCAGGTGGAGACCAGCCTGCTGCCCCTGCCGCAGGCGATGGCCAGGCAGCACCCTCTGCTGGGCAGCGCGCCGCGGCCTCGGCAGCAGCCACTGCCGCCGCTGCTGCAGCAGCGCCTCCCTCGCAGCCCCAGGAGGCGGCGGCAAGCGAGGCGCCCCCGAAGGCGAAGGCGTCCCAGGAGCGAGTGCAGCGGGTTCTGGCAGAAGCCAGGGGCAACCCGCCCTCGTCGGCGACCTACGCCGACGCTGCCGTGGCTCCACAAAAGTGCGGGTAGCACGATTCGTCTGTACCCGAAGCCGAGACAATCTCAGAATGCGGCACCAGAAGTTCGACGATTGCTTTTGCACAATCTTTCTATGTGGGGGCACAAAGCCACCAAGCTTTTTGCAGAGAGTGATGTTGATATCATCATCATGCCCGAGACGCACGTGCTGGCTTGCGACACTCAGGATATTTTGAGCACGCTGAAGCAGCACAAATGGCAAGGTATTGTTTCTCCAGCATACCCCACGACCTACGTGAAGAAGGCAGGTGGCATTGTTCTGGGTATCCGTCAGCATCTTTGTTGGTCTGCTTTTCGCCACTTGTCGGACGACCCTGACAACTCGATCGGCTTAGTTGACGTCAACAGCAAGCAGAAGTTATCGGGGCCCTTGTCCTTCAAGGATGTGGTGGCGGTCGAGTGGAAGATCGCCAGAGTCCCGCTGCTAGCGATTGGTGCTTATTTGACTGTCTCAGTGGGATTGGAAGCACCCATCAATGTCGCAAAGCTTCTCACTATTTCGGCGCTGTTGAACAATCATGCGGGGCCTTGGATCATCATGGGAGATTTCAACGCTACCCCCCTGGAGATGGCCTCGTGGATTCGAAAGTGGAATGGGCAATTTTACCACCCTGGCATCGCCCACACGTCCACGAGGGGCAAGGGGCAGCGAATCATCGACTATGCTGTGGCTTCTCAGGACTTCTCTACACTTTTTCATCATGCGATCCAGCTGGATGCTGAGGGTGGTGACCACTACGGCATGATTTTGGAGTTGAATGTTTCTGCACAACAGTCTGCACGTCGAGTCTTGGACCTGCCGAAGATGTTCCTGCCACCGCTGCCCACCAACTTAAAGGGTGACCCCAACAGCAAACGCTCGAGGAAGAAATTGGAGTTGGGGCGGCGACGGCAACAACGTGCTCTGGACCACTCGGAGGATCTCGAGCAAGAACTTCCTGAACCCGAGTCTGAAGAAGAGGAGTTCTTGGCGCAACCTCCGCAGGCCAGCTCGTGCACGAAATACCCAGAGGAGGCTCGCAAGTTTCTACATCGAGATTTCTTCGACTTTGACTCCGAGGCGCTTCAGCAGATGTGGCGGTCGCATATTTATGACCACAAGACTTCTGAGGTCAAGCCTGTAGCTCAGGACTGCCACCCAGCCAAGTATTTAGAGTGGAGGGTTGAAGATCTGGATAAGCTTTGGGCCACCATTGACAACAACACTCTCCAGCACTGTGAGTGGACCCTACCGCCAGATTGGATACAAGACAGCCTCTCGTATAAGTATGATCCCGAGACTGCTATCGAGCTGGGATCAGACTACGGAAGATTTACGTCAGTTTTTGAAAATTTTCTGCGTCGTGTACTTGAGGTACCACCAGAGCGAGCTTGGCATTACAAAGGTCGTGGAGCTGCGAGGGAATTCAAACCTTTGCCGATTTCAGCACCCGCGCCAACAAGAGCGCATTCAGATATGTCAATCAAGTGGTGGCTGCAAGTTTCTGGTTGGATTCAGGAGCTTATTCGAGTCTCTGCCAGTGGGACCCAGCAGCACGTCGAGGAGTTCTCTACTGCAGCAGGTGGTGACTCCTCCCCTCCTCCCCCCGTTTTGCTCAGCCCAGTCTCGAAAAAACAAGTCAGGACAGCATCGAGAAAAGACTTCTTGGTGCATAGGTTGGCACAGGCTCCTGCTGACATGCCACTTTCAGGTTTCGGCCAGGTAATAGGCAGAGATCGGCAGGACTGGGCCAGTACACTTCTTAACATTCACAACCTACCGAGAGAAGCCCTCATTACGATGGGAGCATCAGCGGATAAGATCGCAGCAGCCCTGGAGCGTAAGGCGGCCAAGGATAGTTACAGCGCTTTTCAATCGTGGATTCGAGATTCTTTTGCTCAAGGCTGTGGGAAGTTACATCGGTGCGTTAAGCCCAAGACGCGTGTTGAGACAGAGTACCGCGACCTGAAAGGAAGTTCCACGAGCCTCAAGGATATTTTGGTCCAGAAGAGTCAGCTTTGGCAACGCAAGTGGGCTTCCAAAATTTTGCCAGTGCAAAGATTGTTTCAACTCCTTCGACGGGCTCACGCTAAGGCAGCAGCACAACCCTGGCCAGCTCTGGAACCTGAGCAGATCGCCATCACAGTCAAGCAGATCAACTCCAGCAAGGCCGCAGGCATCGAGCAACTGGGCGGTACCCTCAAGTATTTACCTCCAGCTGGCATTGCACACTTGACGGGGTTTTTGAATGAATGCGAACGACGAGGAGGCTGGCCTTGGCAGATTCAGACTGCTATTGTTGCTCTTTTGAGGAAAGGCGCTGACTCTGATCGTTCAATTGGTCTTATCCCAGATTTGATACGCTTGTGGAGTTCAGCCAGACAGATTTTTCCTTCTGAATGGGTCGAGCAGATGGCTGGCAAGTGGGGCAATGCGATCAGAGGCTTTTCCTGCTTGCGTGTCGGACTCCTACGAGCCTTCTCTGACGAAGCCATCAGCATGGGGCCCAAGCACACCGTCTCGGCTAGTCTTCTGTGGGACATCGACAGCTTCTACGACTCGTTAGAGTACGAGCGCCTGTTCGAGCAGGGCTTGGCCCTGGATTTTCCGCCTTTGATGTTGCTGATGGAAGGGCTGGCTCATCTCATAGTTAGAGTTTTTCGTGAAGCAGGGTGCTTTTCACCACCAGTCCAGGCCAACAAGTCCATCATCGCAGGAGCTCGTAGAGGGGTCGATTTTGGAAGATTGTATCTCTACAGTATCCTTGAAGCTGTGTACAACAAATACTCACCGTCGGTCAGCACGTCGTCTTGGGTTGATGATATCACTCAGTATGCGTATGGGTCCGTCAGGTTCCTCTCCCAGGCGCTCACCAAGGCTGGGGTTCTCTTGGGCAGGCTCTGCAACAAGGCGCACTTGAGTATCGCTAGCAAGAGCAAGATCATCGCGGGGGACCCTGAATTAGCAAAGGACATTGCGCGCAAGTTGGCACAGCACAACATTAAGATCACTGTAGCACAGAAAGCAGTCGATTTAGGCACTGACAGAGGCACGAACATGCGAGCACGGCCTAAAGCAGCAGCACGTCGCAAAGCAGCATGGAAGCAAGTAGGCCGAGCTCGGAAGCTTATTGGAGCAGGCAGAACAGGCAGAGCAGCAGCACGGCGCGTGATACATCGAGGATGTTATGCAAAAGTTCAGTATGATGCAGCTGTGTACGGTATGAGCCCTTCGGCAGTGCAGGCTTGGCGCAGAGCTATAGGAGGCACTTTCACTCTGTCGGTCCGGGGCAGGTGCCTCGACACTCTTTTACAGCTGGAGCTTGGAGATCAAGATCCAGCAATCTCGCAGGTATTTAAGATGCTCGACAGCTGGATGGCCATCCTTGCGTCAGGAGCTGAAGCACGAGCTTTTGCAGCACGAGATTGGTCGCAGCACGTGGCTAAGGCTAGAGAGATTCCTAAGCATCGATGGCGCAGAATCACAGGCCCCACCAGAGCTGTAGTAAATACCCTTCTGGACATCAACTGGGACCCCATTGGACCTTGGCATTGGGTTTCTGATCTTGGGAACGTCTATCAGGCTACTCCAGAGGTCCTTGAAGCAGGTCCACTAGATCTAGATGATATCCGCCAAGACCTAGCCGATTCAGTTCGTCGGGTTCTTTGGAAGCGAGCAGCAAAACATTATGAGAGCGCTGATGTTGCTAACGGAGTAGACCTAACTGATGTACGACAGCAGCTACGACGAGCTAGAGATAAAGACCAGCTTAAGTGGGCAGGAGCTTTAGTCAACGTCTGCTGTGGTGGTCAGTGGGCTATGGAGAGAATTCAAAGCATCATCAACCCGCCTGACTTTTCTGTTCTTTGTGATCGCTGTGATGGTGGACGACCAGAGTCTACCTTCCACCGAATTTGGGAATGTTCCGCGAACGACGCCTTGCCCTCGACCACCAGCATCGAGGCTTTTGTGCACCGTGCTCGCACCCAGGTGGATTCACAGCCGCCAGTGTGGCTACGAGGCCTCACTCCTTCGTCGTGGACACAAGTTTCGCAGCCGCCCGACGAGGCTGACATTTTTGTGCACAGCCACGGCTTCTTCCCCGACGGCACAGACCTGATCGTCGGCGCAGGTGATGCCTCAGGGGGTAAATACTCGGATCAGGCCAGATTCAGGAGAGTGTCTTGGGCTTACGTCGTCTTCGAGGAGTTCGACCTAGCGAACCCAGCTCCGTCCCTGGCCTTGCCAAGGGTGTCCTCGGGAGCCACTTGGGGACCCCAGACCATCAATCATGGCGAGATGATAGCGCTCTTGAGGTTCCTGGAGGAGGCCCCTGTGGGCCGACCACTCGTCTTCGTCACGGACTCGTCGTATGTCCAGAAAAACGTCAGTAAGGTCCTCTTGGATTTCTTCCCTACTGGATTTAGGAACGAGTGGCGTCGAATTCAGCGGCTTCTTCAAGAGAAGCCGACCAGCATCATCAAGATCGAGTCGCACATGACTCCAGAGCAGGCTGCAGAGAAAAAGGAGCTCGTCTTTGCGTGGGTTGGCAACAAGGCAGCTGATGAGTTGGCTGAGCACACGGCCAAGAACATACAGTTGCAGGCGGGGGAGGTGGAGGCGGTCCAGATTTCTGAGGCCTTGACGCGTGCTGTGAGAATTCGGGCTTGTGAAGTTTTCCTCTCGAGATTTTCGGAGGCCTCTGGAGACAATCCCCAGGCCCCTAGAGCTCGCAAGAAAGCCAAAGCCAAGCCGAAACCAGCCGTCCCTCCTCCTCCGCACAATATGATTCCTGTAGGAGAGGGTCCTGATTCGAGGCTCTTTTGCAATTCGTGTTGTTCGGTCATTTCTGTTAACTCGCACGGAAATATTCCGTCCCAGGAGTTTCTTGCCTCCCCGTGTGTTCCTGCGAAACCCCGTTCGGGATTTGAGGGAGCGAAGTCTCTCCACAATGTGTACATTGGTGCCAGGTATGTTGACCCGTCTCATGATATGGTCATGTCTGCCAAGG